TATTGGCATCATCGTAGACCATTACAGCTGCTCGTGCCTGGCAGATACTCTGTTCACTGTGAAAATAAAAGTATTTCAGCATGAAACATGAAATGACTAAAGGAAAATCATCACCTTTTCTGTACCTTTTTTTAAAACTCAAAATGTTAAATACTCCTTGCAACTTGCTGAAATGTCTGCCTTTCTAAATACAAAACCACTAAGCACTTGGAAGCTTTGCTTAAAGGTGTTCATTCTGAAAAGTTGTGGTCAAGACAAACAGGCCTAATCACTAATTAAAGAGATCAAAAAAATATTTACTATGTCATTTTTTGCACTTTTTCCCCTTGCAGATTTTTTTTCCCGCCTTTCTCCTCACCACCAACCATGAAGCTTAATTAAATATCATAAGCACATGTCTTCTACAAAGACTGAAGATCAAAATTGGAACTTGCACTAGCTTCACAGTTGTTTTCCAGCAGTAATTACTTCTGCAAGACATGAGGATTGGAAGCATCCTGCTATTTTAAATACATATAGAAGAAAACACACACAGAGCCCAAAAAATTCACCTTCTTATAAACTAATTTATTTTTGGCTTTGACATATTTTACAACAGTTGACACATTTTACAACACTTGGCACCTTGATGTACAATTTCTCTTCCAGCAACTAATCCTGATTATGGAAGGAGGTGCAGGTCAGGTGACTCACTTCTAAAGGGAGTGGAAGGCCCTATTTGCAGGCCAGACCCACTTCCTAGGGAGGTCAGCTGCCTCCTCCTCGGAGCCAGGGTTAAGGATATATGGAGGAAGCTCCCTACCATAGTTCAGCCCATTACTGTTATTCCAAGTAGGCAGTGATGAGATAGCTACCAGAAGCCTAGGGGCAATGAAGAGAGACTTCAGGGCCCTGAGACAGCTGGTTAGGGGATCAGGAGTATAGGTGGTATTCTACTCTATCCTACCAGTAGCAGGGATTGATGAGGGGATAAGCAGGAAGAGCCAGAAGACTAACTCCTGGCTCTGGGACTAGTGCAGCTGACAGGACTTTGGCTTCTTCAATCATGGATGGACCTACAGGACACTAGGCATGGCAACAAGTGGGGAAAGCCCAGCCCAGAGAGGGAGGATCCTGGGGCACCAGTTAGCAAGGCTCATGGGAAGGGCTTTAAACTAGGTTTGAAGGGGGATGGGGACGAAACCAGGCACACCAAAAATGAGCCTAAGGACAGCCATCAGCCTGCCATCCCATTTGAGGTGGAAAATGGGGATAAATGCAACAACAACACAGGGCTCAGTAATAGGTTAGTAACCACGCAAGTGGTTGAGATATCCGTACTGCAGCTCAAGTGCATATATGTCAATGCCCATAGCAGGGGAAATAAACAAGAGGAGTTAGAAGCTACTGTGCACCAGGGAGACCACCATATAATTGCCATCACAGAAACATGGTGGGATGATTTGCATAGTTGGAGTGCTGCAATGAATGGCTACAGGCTCTTTAGAAGAGATAGGCAAGGCAAGAGAGGTGGTAGGGTGGTGTTTTCTGTTAAGGAGTGCTTTGACTGCCTAGAATTCAATGTTAGACACACCAAGGCAGAATGTTTATGGGTAAGGATAAAGGGGAAAGCCAATGAGACTGATATCCTAGTGGGAGTCTGCTACAGATCATCCAACCCGGATAAAGAGACTGATGAGACATTCCTTCAACAACTTGGAGATGTCTCACATTCACTAGCCCTTGTTCTTGTGGAGGACTTCAACTTACCAGATGTCTGCCGGAAGTACAACACAGCAGAAAGGGGCCAATCCAGGAGGTTTCTGGAACGTATGGAAAATAACTTCCTGCTACAGCTGGTAAGTGAGCCTACCAGGGGTAGTGCCATGCTGGACCTACTGTTTATGAACAGGGAAGGACTGGTGGAAGATGTGGTGGTTGGAAGACATATTGGGCACAGCGACCACGATATGATAGAATTTTCAATATGTGGTGAAGTTAGGAGGGTCATCAGCAAAACTTCTACCTTGGACTTCCAAAGGGCTGGCTTTGGTCTCTTCAGGACGTTGGTTCAGAGAGTCCCTTGGGAAGCAGCCCTCAAAAACAAAGGAGCCCAGGAAGGCTGGGCTTACTATAAGAACTAAATTATGGAGGTGCAGGGGCAGGCTCTCCCTGTGTGCCAAAAAGGAAGCTAATGGGGAAGAAGACTAGCTTGATTGAGCAGGGAACTATTACAAGAAATCAGAAATAAAAAGACAGTTACCAACTTTGGAAAAAGGAGCAGGTGAATCAGGAAGTATTAAGGATATTTTAAGGGCATACAGAAAGAGAATTAAGAGATGCAAAAGCTCAACTAGAACATAATCTGGCCATCTCTGTAAAGGATAATAAAAAATGCTTTTATAAATACATTAACAACAAGAGGAGGGTCAGGGAAAATCTTCATTCCTTACTGGATACGGGGAGGGAACTTAGTAATGGAGGACAAGGAAAAGGCTGAGGTCCCTGACACCTTTTTTGCCTCAGTCTATAGCAAAAAGACTAGCTACCCTCAGGACAACTGGGCTCCTGAGTTGGTAGGCAGGGATGGGGAACAGAATACTCCTCCTGTAATCCAGAAGGAAGTAGTTAGGGACCTTCTGTGCCACTTCAATCCCAACAAATCCATGGGTCCAGATGGGATTCATCCTAAGGTGCTGAGGGAGCTGGGGAAGCCACTCTCAATCACTTATCAACAGTCCTGGCTGACTGGGGAGATCCTAGATGACTGGAGGTTGGCCAGCGTGACACCCATCCAAAAGAAGGGCTGAAAGAAGGAACAGGAGTACTATAGGCCTGTCAGCCTGACCTCAGTGCCTGGCAAGGTTAGGGAACAGATCATCTCAAGCGCCATCAAGCAGCATGTAGAACACAACCAGAGGATCAGGTCCAGCCAACACGGGTTAAGGAAAGGAAGGTCCTGCCTGACTAATCTCATCTTCCTCTATGACTGGGTGACTGTGGATGCAGTCTACCTTGACTTCAGCAAGCCCTTTGACACAGTCTCCCAAAGCATCCTCCCGGAAAAGCTAGCAATCCACAGCTTGGAAAAGTGCTCCTTTCACTGAATTAAAAACTGGTTGGATGACCAGACCCAGAGAGTGATGGTGAATGGAGCTGCATCCAGCTGGCATCCAGTGACCAGCGGTGTTCCCCAGGGATCAGTACTGGACCCAGTCCTATTCAACATCTTTACTGATGACCTGGATGTGGGGATTGAGTCCACCCTCAGTTCACAGATGACACCAAGCTGGGGGGGAGTGTTGATCTGCTGCAGAGGGACCTGGACAGGCTAGGTCGATGGGCCAAAGCCAATGGCATGAAATTCAACAAGACCAAGTGCTGGGTCCTGCACTTTGCCCACAGTAACCCCAGGCAGCGCTACAGGCTGGGGGAAGAGTGGCTGGAGCAGCCCAGCAGAGGGACCTGGGAGTGATGGTTGGCAACCAGTTGAACATGAGCCAGCAGTGTGCCCAGGTGGCCTGGAAGGCCAATGGCATCCTGGCTTGTATCAGGAATAGTGTGGCCAGCAGGAGTAGGGATATAATTCTCCCCTGTACTCAGCTCTGGTGAGGCCTCACCTCGAGTACTGTGTCCAGTTCTGGACCCCTCATTTCAAGAGGGATACTGAGGTGCTGGAGCAGGTCCAGAGGAGAGCAACAAGGCTGGTGAAGGGACTAGAGGGAAAGTCTGATGAGAGGCTGAAGGAGCTGGGGTTGTTTAGCCTGGAGAAGAGGAGACTCAGGAGGGACCTTCTCACTCTCTACAACTACCTGAAGGGAGGTTGTAGTCAAATGGGGGCTGAGCTCTTCTCCCAAGCAACTAATGACAGGATGAGAGGGCTATGCCAGGGGAGGCAGGTTTAGGTTGGATATTAGGAAGCATTTCCTCATGGAGAAAGTGATTAGACATTGGAATGGACTGCCCAGGAAGTGGTGGGGTCACCATCCCTGGAGGTGTTTAAGGAAAGACTGGATGTAGCACTTAGTGCCAGTCTAGCTGATGTGGTGGTGGTAGGTCACAGGCTGGACTTGATCTTAAAGGACTTTTCAAGCCTTGGTAACTCTGGGAAAAGTAAAAAGGAAGCATATCATTCATGTCATGAGTATTAGAAGCACAAGAAAGCAGAACATACCATAAACACACTACTTATTAGGAGAGGAGAGGGTGATACTAGACTGGTTGTCCTTATGGGAAATGTCCAGATGCAGACAGGAAATAAAAATAGAAAGGAATTATTTCTTATCAGGGAGCCAAATTCTCTGAACATACCACTCGAGCACATCCAACATTATAGAGAGCACATGATGCCTGGCTTGCAAGGAATGTGGCCTGTCATTTAGAAAACAGAAGGCTGAAAAGACCTGCATTCTCCATAAATCACAAAAGAAACGTAGTGAAATATTTATTTTATGAAGGAAGGACAACTTCTCCCCTCCCCAGTCTTTCATGGGTTTTTATTGTCTGGTTGGTTGTTTTGTGTACGTTCGGGTATTCTTGAAAGACCATGCTGAATTTCCCAGTATCTTATGTCCATCTTCTGGCACAAGAAAATTCTGCACTGTATCCAGTTGTTTTCTTAACTTTTGATACTGATGTTTTTGATAAAAAATTGCATCAATTTCAATCACACTGTCCACGGCACGCCAACAGTTAGAAAAGAGCTCAACACTGGGATACTTTTCAAGTCTAGGGGAAAAAGAGAATACTGAGATCATGTCTCTGATGCATGCAAGACATTCAAGATTAGATGAGGAAACATTCTTACTTTTAAAGATGCATGTGTCTTATGACCCATTCAAAAACTAGATGAGAACGGTTTAAGAGCCTCTAATTCGACCTTTTCTAGCCAGAATTCAGTTCCATATGGACATAGTAAAATTACATATTTATATATTTAAACAGTGATGCTTTTCTAAGAACAGTTCAGCTTATAGTTGACAATGTAGACCAAAAGAACCACATCTGGCTCAGTAACACGTATGAGCTGCAAAGATAATAAAATTAGGCAAAAGTTTCAGGTGTTTGATGGTTCTATTAAAAGGATGCCAGAGGTAAGTAAGAAGGTTCCCTCATCTAAAAAGAGAACAATGCAAGAACCTACTGGATTTCTTTATTTTTAGCGTATTTTTGCACTTAATTATATTAAAGTTCAAACCTAAAAACATTTGGTACTGTTCACAAAGTACAGAACAAACAGTAGTGGTTTTTTTCTACAATGCATAACAGTATTACAGAAAATTTCTGTAAAAATTCTGAACCTGAAACAATTTCTTGCTACATTTGAATTTGGATCAATCACAGGCATGATAAACCGTGACAGGATCTAGATACTGATTTGGAATCAGTTATGTGGCTTGCAGAGTTTTTGCAAAAAAATAACTTTATTTCAGTCATGTGTCAGACAGATTGAAAAATCGTTTAGATCCTATTAAAAATTGATACCTTGAGTATAAGCTAATATGTTCCAATTGCAACAAAGGTAGAACCAGAGAGTGATTGAGCAGTAGCACAGCAATCAGAAGGCTTAGTTACACAGGACCGACCATGTTAGGATGTTCTTATCCAAAGTGTTCTCACTTTGCCCTGCTATAGTCCTTCCACAGGTCTAAGCTTTTATAAAGCTCTGCTTTCATGTTATTTTATTTAGCATTACAAGAATAAAATACCTACTCATTTTAGAACTATTTGGTATTCAAGAAACACAATGCACAAGTGCAAATAAAATGACCTTGAGCAGAATTGCAAGCTTTTCTTTAACAAATGTTACACTATTTTTAGCTCTATTTCTCAGGATGGATAATATTTCTTTTTAACTAGAAATACTACAGATGTCTAGTTCTCAAATATTTCATGCTCCATTTAAAATAAAATAATTTTCTTAATAGCAGGGGATTATACTTAACCATAAAAAGATACCAGATAATTCACATCCTTTAAAAAATTACAAACATAAACAATTTCCAGTTCACCTATTCAATCAATACACAATAAGCCTTCTGCCTTTATTTCACACAAAACCTATATAAGAAAATTTTAATGTCCCAGCTCTATAATTTTAACATCCAGGTACCAATATGAAGGTTAAATACTCCCCCTTCCTGTCAACAGTTTCCCCCACCCATCACTTTGTTTACCAGACTGCAGCAGTAAGGTGGAAAAATGAAGCTATCACGATCAGAAACAAATTAAACCATCACAGTGTGCTAGTCTTTTTCCAGGGTTCAGTAACTGCAAGTTACTAGATGAAGGGGAGGATCAATTTCATTCTTTCTCTTAGTAAAAAGTTCTGCACTCTAAAGTGATTACTTTTTATTTTAAAGAAAAGCATGGAGACAGGAGCTTTAGCAAAGAATCTCTTGGTCTGCTCTTCAATGACCATTTGCTTGTTTAATATTTGAATATAGTATATAACAGCTATTAGACACCATTAAGTCTCAAAAAAAAATATTCACTTTTAAAAAAATAAAATGCATACCTGAAATCCACTAACCTCAAATGGTTACACCAAATTGAAATTCAAGCTGTTAACTCATTACTATCTTTCACAGATCTAATGAAAAACAAGGTTTAGTTTTCTACCTAGGAAAATGCTAAGTGTAACATACAGACTGTTACTAGAACCCAAGTCAGTATTTCTCTATTATACATGCAGTATATATGATTAAATTCAACACAGCAAGAGCAAAGTGAATCAGAAAAGTGTTGCTTATTGTATATCTTATTCTTAGAACTTATACTTCCCTGCAGTACTTATAACAGGAGACAGGTCTTCAGTGATCTCAGTATTTATACATTAACTTCAGAGTCCACAGTTTTCTGCAATACACATCCATTAGGCTGCAGGAACTGACCACAAGATGCTAGAAGATTTTATTAATTCTCTGCACCAGAATCCTTTTGGTCAGATTGGAAATGCCTTTTTTTTTTTTTTTTTTTACATATAGATTACTTTAGCACTAATGCGAAGAAATAAACTGTCTACTGACACGTTGCAAGAGAAAAGGAAAAGGATCTTCTTCTATTTGTCATGTCATTAGGCTTTCAAAAGCATCCTACAGAGTTTACTTGCCTATCTACAAATTTTCCTTTTCCTGCTATGCTGTACTGGTTAACAGTTCCATTATACTTAAACGTTTTTTTTTTTTTTTTTTACATATAGATTACTTTAGCACTAATGCGAAGAAATAAACTGTCTACTGACACGTTGCAAGAGAAAAGGAAAAGGATCTTCTTCTATTTGTCATGTCATTAGGCTTTCAAAAGCATCCTACAGAGTTTACTTGCCTATCTACAAATTTTCCTTTTCCTGCTATGCTGTACTGGTTAACAGTTCCATTATACTTACATTATTAACCTGCATCTTCCCAGCATGAGAGCTCATCAGGGGATGCAGGAGAATGAGCCAAGGAATCCATCTCTAGCTTCAAATGCTACTGCCAAGATGTACAGCTGCTCAAAGAGCTGTCTGCTAACTTATTAGGACAGTGGGTTGGGGAACTAAAGTGACAATCTAAATATTAACTAAGAAAAATAAATAGTTTTTCTATTCCCAAGTAAACTCACCAAGCTAAGTATATGAAATTATATGCAGAAAACTGAAAATTAATTCAAGGGAACAGTTAAGCTAAACAGTGCTTACCAAATCTTAGGAAACAAAGTGTACAAGCTCTCTTCCTAAAATGTAAAGCCTGACAAATAGCTGGACAAGTATATGAGTTCTTCCCTAGACAAAAACGTAAGGCTCTGATAGTTAAAGCCAACAATTACTCTGCTTAAGTCCACATACAGCAATACCATATAAAGCCAGTCAGGGTGGTTGTTTTTTATTTGGGGTAGAAAAGTGGGGAGAGATCTGGCAGTCAAAAGGCTCACACAAAAAAAAAATATAGAGTAGTAATGAATAGTAAGATTATTCTTATGGTAGAACATGGTTTCTTCCTCCAGTGATGAGATAATACACAAAACTAAAAAACCATAGCAAACTGACCCCTACCAGACACCATTCTTGTGCCCAAATGGAATGTGTTCATTCTGTCGCATTGGAAGTTCTTGAGCTCAGTGCACAGTGTCACAAAAGCACAGTCTGCTGACCTGAGTCTTTATTATTTATGCTGGCCTCTCCCCCAAAAAGTGAATGCTTGGTTTTCCTCCCTCAAGAACCAAAAAGGATAAACTTAGTCACTCACACAGAAAACAGCATGACTGCAGCCATAGAAAAGATGATTTAAATATACTGACAAGAGCAAGGAAAAAGCTGTGATTGCCAATTCTCAACCCTTAGGATTTTTGCCAGTAATGTAACAATGAGGTTTCTTGAAAAACTGTGTCCTGCTACTGCTTTTTCTGATGATTCAGGGCTTTTTTTTTGGCTGATATGATCTCAGTTTACAGAAATGTAATAACATGTTCCTAAATGTGTAGTCTTTGTGGGGCAGAAAGGAATGGAAATATGCTGATTTATAAAACGCCTGTGTAGGATTTTCAAACCACAGGGCACAAAGCTAGAAAGAAAATCCAAACATTTGTAATACTCATATCTTAAAATACATCTTTTCAAACAACAGCTGAATGCCGGTTGAGATAACGAGTTATGTCTCTGCAGTGGTGTTTCGCAAGATGGCTTTCCCTGCTTGTTAGTGAACCCCAACTGGCACATCAGTGAAAATGTGCAACTTTAAAAAAAAATAATAATCCTAGGTACTGTACCACTACTGTCTAGCAAGTAAAAGAAGACAAACTGCAACAATCTCAAGGGAACACCTTAGAAATTGGGAAAGAGAACCTGATAACTTGATGGAAATACTTTATTAAATGCCTTCCTTACTCAGCTTTAAGATAAGCTTTTCAATTAAGCAACCTGAAAGTAGCAAAAGTGGTATTTCCCAAGTTTCTTCTAGAATTTCCTAGATTTTTCATCCTATAAAGAATCATTACTTTTTTTTCAAGAAATGTTTTCAACAGGTTTTGAAAGGGAAAAAAAAAAAAAAAAAGAAGAGCTACACAATGGCTGGCTTTTTATTACAATGCACTTGCACTGGGGGGGATCAGGTGAAATCTGTCATTTTTATACTGGTAAAATAAAGACTTATATTTAGACTCAACAGAACCATTAAATAATTCAGTTTACACTTCCTCCATGCACTCATCATCCATATCCTTGTTTTCTTTTATCCTGCTATACAGGGTGTTCTCTTAGACATAGCATTTTTGGTAAATTGTCCAGATATTGTTCCTGAAAAGACTCCATTTTTACAATCAAATCAATTTTTCCACTGATTCTTCAAATGTATTTCTCAACAATATTAATTACTTTACTTCTACTAAAAGGTTATGTGGATTCTAGGCAGTAATTCAAATAGATTACGTTTCCTCAATGCAGATTCAATACAGTGACATGGCAAGCCAAAGGTTTTGCCACAGTGAAGCTAATACTACTACCTGAATAGCAATTTTACACAACAGTAAACAGGAGCAGATTCCTACCACAATCTTTCATCCATATCAAGACAGACTTTTAACAAAAAACAGTTTCTCAGTTTGACTACTTTTTGCCAAAGTTAGTGGAAAACAAGCTATACAGCACAACCTGGGAACAAACCACTTTGTTAAGCAACAGGATACACTGTAAATGAACAAAGCTGACAGCCATAAAATCAATACTTTTACTGAATAGGATCATGACAAATTTAAAAGTTCAGATCTTTTAACTTAAAGGTCTTCAAAACCGGGACCGGCCAGCCCAATACATTACTTCTTTCCTACAAATAGTCTATTTTTGATGGTTTGTTGTTTTTCTTGCTACAACTCCATGAATCTGAGCCCAGTCATACTGTGGAAAACATTTTAAGTGGGCATGAAAAACAACACCATCTTCAGCAACTAGGCTGACAGTTGTTGATTTCCTCTGAGAAATCACTTAACATGTATTTCCTGTCTTCTATACACATTTTAACAAAAATTGACCTTATGTTATTTCTTAAGCTTTCGACACATGGCAGAAATCAAAGCTTTCAGTCTGGATTCCCTGGGAAATCCGAGTGCCCAAACACAC